TATTTCTATTAACAATGCTTAAATACAATAAATTTAAATTAAGAAATATTTACTTAATTTCATGATCAAGAAGATAAAAATGTTGATGAATCAATAATTACAGGAGTTATTTTATATTAGAATTAATAAGTAAGTATATTATCATCAACTTAAAGCTAATTTAGATTTAAAGTTTGGGAATATTTTTTCGACTTTTAAAATTAAAATTAATTTGAATTAATATTTTCAGTAAGAAATCCAAATTATATAATACCAACATTAATTTCTTATTCTTTAAATGCTAACATACCTCCATAAGATTGTACTTTTGATTAAACTACAGGTTTTGAAGTTAAAAATATGTAAGATAAATAAATTCGTTCAATAAACGAATGTATTGATACTGATTAACCTTTATCTTATTCTTTCTATTTTTATAAAGATTAAGATGATTATAATAATGAATTATTAAATGCATAATATATTAATAGACATTTATTATCTGATTTCTCACCAAATAGTAGTATTGAAACTGTTTTACCTTTTGGTGCGTCCTTAATTATGGGAGTAATATAAGATTCGAAAGGAGGAATAAGAAATATAACTTAATAAATTACAGTAAACCAATATACTTAAGATAGTTCTTCATATTATACATTTATAAATAATTAGTTTACCTAAATTTAATAAAATAATTTAAATTAAAATAAAATTATTTATTATAATATGATTATTTATGATATTATTAATCATGTGAGTGTCCTATAATTGCTAGCAAATTCTTAATTTACATAATTATATATTGAAATTTTAAATGAAGTTTTGAGTTTGTAAAACTATTTTTAATAAACTGACTCTTAAGACTATTTTATATAGACGCAAATAACATTAGATTTAATATTTGGTAACTTTCTCAATTAATAATATTATAATTAGGATTTGATAAAATCCAATAATTTATTAATAATATTTAATAAATAATAGCAGATTAATTAGGAGTAATTAAAAATATAGTAATTTCTGACACAACATAATATTAAAAATCTTTTTAATCAGTATAAATTCTTATATTATAAGCAAAAATAATTTAAAAGATTTAATAAGTTGATAGAAAATTATTCTATCATAAATAAAACTCCTAATTAGATAAATAATACATGTAAATAATGAAAACGATATCGTAAACATTGAATGTGTTTTTAATTCCTAACGAGAATCCTATAAAGGCTCTAAATATAATTTCTACTTAAACAATAACATATAACGTTTTAAAAGAAAAACATTTGAAACTATTCTAAAATGCATACTATGATAGTATAAATATAAAAAAAGACTAAGAAAATCTATAATACCATGTAAATTATTTAGAATATCCTTATTCTGTAATAACTTATGATGATAATTTCCCTTACTCAACGAATCATCCATTTATCATAAATGAAAAGACAATAACTTTTGAATTTAATTAATAATAAATACAACTTGATATTCCTTTATTCAGCATTTACAATTTATCTAAAGCAATAGATAATGTTGGGAATTATATTTGTATATAAAATATTAAAGGAAAATGGATGACTAAAGATTGTATACTTTTATATTATATTAATGACTAAAATCAAATATAATAATTAATATGTTAATGCAAAACCCAAGGAAAATAAACTCTTGTTAACGACATAAATCAAGTATTTAAAGAGGTTCCTATAAACTAATGGTATTTGTATGCTTCTGTGTGGACTTTAGTTGCTACTACCATAATTTATGTGATGTTATTTATATATTTATAATAATTAGATAATATTCAAGACTAAAAAATGTAAAAAAGCGCAATAAAAAGAAATTAAATCACAGAAATTATTTTTTAAAAAAATGTTAATGAATAAGAACGAAATAAATAATTAGATAATATTTTAAAAAACGATGAATAAATACAAAAATAGTATCCTATAAAAACTCCAAATTAAAAAATAAGTATATTTTAAAACAAATATTATTTATAATAAAAAATATTTTTTTATAAAAAAAAAATAATGGAGAAATATATTTTAACAAATATTTTTACCAAAAAATTATTAATTAAGTAATATTAACAACAAATATAAATTTTTTTATTATTATTTATTCATATTTTTTATTTTTTTAATTTAATTTAATATTTTAAGATTCTTTAGCTGAATTTTAAAATAATAAAGAATTCTGCTAGAATTAAGTCTCATAATATTAAGATAGTTTAATTAAAATTGAAAGAGATACATAATCAAACAATTTATTAGGTTCTTTAATCTCATAACAGATATAATCTGAGAAATTACAAGGCAAAATAATGCCATTAAATATTCAATCTAATACAATAGAAAATAAAAGTAGGCAAATGGATGTAAATTAATTAAAAGGAGATAATTAATTGACAACAGAAGATAAGATAAAAACATTAATTACACATAAAATTAGTAAATTAAATACATAAATAAATGCTAAAGTTGTTTTATAATAAAATAACCAAGAAGATGACATACAACCTCAAAAAGATTAGGATAAAATTTAAGATACAGAAAAAAATCAGGTTAAAGTTTAAAAAAATAATTTGGTTAAAAGAAAAAAAAATTAATCTAGTTTGATTCGATAGTAAAGTTAATTAAACTCATAAATAAATAAAATTGTGAAAAGCGACTATAAATATGAAGAAAAAACAAAGGATAGTAGCAATTATGTTTAAAAAGGTCTAAATAAAATTAGTTAATAAGTTTAATCAAATATATTTACTAAAAATAGCTCCTTATTACAAATAAATAATAAAATTTCTTTTTCTTTTTATGATTAGAGTATTTTGTAAAACTTTTTATAAGAAAGTAGATTTGTTTAAATTATATGTTTACATGAATTAATTTTAATATTTATTCTTTTTAATTAATTTTTAAGTAGGCCTTTTAGAATAACATAATAATATATAAAATACGTTATTCTTATTACTTTTAATTCCATTCTATTTTATAATTTAAAAGCTGTCTTTATAATATTAGCTAATTGTTTATTGCTATTAATTATTAACTTAATCATTGTTTTAATAGAAAGTGTCTATAAAATGAATAAAAGAATAGTTATATATTTAATTTATCTCATTTTTATTACTATAGTCATAATTTGCTTTTACATTATTTGTATTAGTATTTAAAATAAATTTTATAAATAATACAATGATTGGTTGCCTTTTTATTTTTTAGTAATTATTTTTGATATTCTTATTTATTAAATTATTTCTGCATTTATTAAATATGAGCTATTTATTTAATATATTACTAGTGTTATAAATAGAAAATGCAATAGTATTAAAA